TTAATCAGCACAAGAAAGTCAAGAAGCAGCACAGTAATTAGAGCAGAATGCTGAAGCCAAGACTGTATGAAGCCAGCTGTGTGACCTCAGACAAGTTGTTTAACCTCTCTGGGCCTCAGTGTTCTCATCAGCAGAACAGAGAGGGTAGTGGTACTGGGTGGATTTGGAGATCATCCAGATAAGAGTCAAAAATCATTACAAACCTAAAGATCTACGTGGAAAAGTTAGAGGTACTGGCATAATTCATTTTGTTAATAAGGCAGTAGAAGGCATTCTTAGTGGGAAAATACTGTCCAACTGCTGATAAAAATGTTTCTAAAACACCCTTTTCAAATTCATAATGGGGAAAATGAGATAGAAGGAGTATCCCAGAGGTTTTATGCACAGTTGACATCTAACGTGTCTCCAGTTCTCCATTGCTCTTATCAGTGCTAAGAATGTCTTGATAGCTCAATAATAAGTTTTTCATGAGGTTTCAGAAAAGCTTTAAGTTTTTCTATTTTATACTGATAAATCTACTTACCCTCTGGGACTTTGTGAATTTCAAAGTTTATCTTGTCACATTCAGTTAATTCAGACTGAGGAAAGCTTTGTATGCTGCATTATGCTGTGCTTTTTAAAGCATGTCATCGCCATCCACTCCAGGATATTTGATATGGAGAAGGTTAATGCTACAGTTTTACACTTCGTCTTATCTCATTTGATTTCATAAAGAAAAAGTATATAAAAATATGAAAGGGGAAGAACTAGGGTTTTAACAATAACCGTCTACAATGCAATGCAGTGGTCCCCCCCTCCTTAGTCACCTTCCTTTTTCCTCTCAGCCTCCATAAAGTTATCGATCTAAAATAGCCAGCTAAGCCTATTTCAATACATCTCTTCTTTCCATTTTCATGGCCAGTGTGGTTGTTTGGCCCCAACAATTTTATCTGGATTACTGCAATCACCTCCTGGTGTTCCCTGTGATTCAAGTCTGATATGACTCTGATATACCCACAGACTACGGTCCTAATGCTCTTTCTTGCTTAACTCGATCACGTTGCATTCAGGATAAAATCCAACCTCAGCAGGACCCCTGAGGTTCCCATAAGGCCCACATCTTCCTCTTGGCATCAACTCTTGCATCTAAGCACATACACCCCATGGGACCCAAGCTCCCTCTCACTTCCTCGTTTGAGACAGCTTGTTTTCAATAACCGTAATGCCCTGTTCTGTGTTCTACATTTAGAAAACTCCTACTTTATCTCTCAAGGCTCAGTTTGAGTGCCACCTTCTCCAGACACCTTCCACCATATCACATGCATATACTCAGAGGTTCGGGCACCTCTCTTCAAGGGTCCCACGGAATCTGCATGCGTCTCTTTCCTGGCTTATATACTACAGTGTATTATAATGTTGATGGATCTCACCCACTGACAAGTAAGCGAGCACATCTAGTCAAGATCAACACTGTCATCTATACAGTCAGCCACAGGTTCTGCATCCGAGGACTCCACCAATTGTGGATTGAAAACCTCTGGAAAAAAAAGTCCAAAGTTCCAGAAAGCAAAACTTGAATTTTCTGTGTGCCAGCAACTATATATGTAGCTTTTACATTGTATTTATAATGATTTAGATAGCATATACATTGTATTAGGTATTACAAGTTACTCAAGAGATGATTTAAAGCATATGGGAGGATATGCATAGGTTATAGGCAAATACTATGCTATTTTATATATGGGACCTGAGCATCTGTGGGTGTGGGTAACCGTGGGGGTCCTGAAACCAATCCCCTACAGACAGTAGGAATGTCGGTACATCATCAGTGCCCTAAATGGCTATGGGCAAACAACAGGAATCGAACAAATACTAATTATGTGAATAACTAATATATAGTGGAAAACCAGACTCCTACACTCAAAAAATTCCTTATTTAGTTGGGGAGGCATGACTATGGGAAGGGGAGGGGATAGAAATAAGATATAAAAATTAACTAGAATGCATATCAGAGTGAGGTAAGAAAGTGAGATATGTGGCAAGAAACTAGTATTTATGAGTTAGTATTTAGGTGCCTAAAATGTGCCAGACATTGTGGTTGGTCCTTTGCACAATCTCCCTTAATTTTCACAACCATCCTGAAGGGTATTATTATTTCAGTTTGATAAGGTAAGGAAATCAGAAGGAACTTAAGGCCACATAAAAGTTAATGTGATCTTAACAAAGTTTATACAATTTGATCTCTAAAACCCATGCTCTTTCTATCTCGGTGGTACAAATTCAGTCCCATGGAGTTTCAGAAGAGGGAACGGTTACACCAGAATGACAAATTAGAGTAGATTCCATGTAGAAGTAATAAAGGATCAAATCTTGAAGAACTCGGGGAGAAACAGAGTGCATTTTAGAGGGAGGAATAAAGACGGGCATGGATACAGATTCAAAACTTGTGAGGAGGACAGAGAATGGTCCAGTCTGGAATAAGCTGAGCATACCTGGGGGAAATCCCCCTGAAGAGAAAGTTGGGACTTTACTGGGGGACCTGGGAACTCCACATTTATAATGAGCGCCAATATTAGAAAAGTAACCCAGAGCATGTAGGTTGTGCTGATTATTGGACCTGTACTGTCATCTTGATGAAGGGCAGCAAGAGAAAACAAATCTGGTAACATAAGATAACTCTGATTTTCATACAGAAGTGCACTTTTTTAAATTCAAGGAGTAAATATAAGTACAGAATTTGACATATCAAGTGTCCTCTTTAATGTTAAATTAACATACCATTGTGGAAAAAGAAATAAATAAATGTATTTCACAAATGTGAGCCATGTAGTCTCTTCTGTTTAAAATACATACCATAAAAGTCATCATACCCAATAATCTTTTAAATTATTGAAATCGTACTCCAAGGACAACATCCTGATTGTAACTAAAAACATGAATTGCCCAGCTTGCTCATTTTATGAGCTCTGAGCATTAAAACGTAAGATGGCCATACTTAGAAGCACACTGGTTGTACGTTTTATTTATGTTTGGTGATGGTTTTACTTATCAAGATTGTTTCGAACGGCTCATAACTAATTTTGTTGGAATGACATCCATAAACTAAATTGAGTGTGACTGATTATTTAGATGGTAACATCACAAATCCATTAAAAGGGATCTCAAATAAACAGAGTTAACGACCTTAAGTAGGTCACCCAGAGATCAGAGAAGTTCCAGACATTTTTTTGGACTGCTATTTTTAGGTCTTCTAAAACATATGTTTCTCTTAAAGCAATTTCATGAGCTTAAATTTTATGGCAAATATAGCCATAAAGCTGTACATAATAAGGAAAAAAACTGTCCACATTGAAATTAGTAAGAACATCAGTCCGTTTACTGAAAACCCTTTAATAATATATATTATAAACAGAAATGGAGCTTTTCACTTCCAACTTTACATAATAAATTGAATATCAAATACTGACAAATAGAGGTACCCAGGGTCCCAGGGAAAATGAATAGATATTTTATTTGTAATACTGTCATCAATCAGTGATATAGCAATGAGTGCTACCAACAAAATAATAAAAATATATGACTTTGAAAATTTTATTACACTTTGAATTTAGGAAGTTTTTCCACAGATAATGTATCTATATATTTATGTAGCCAATATCAGAATTATTATGGGATATAATCAGCATGAAATTCTTTACTGTTTGTGAATCATTTGTTACTTTTCAAAAAAAGATTGGTATAAGAGACACTCCAGGCAGAAAGTAAAGCATGGTACAGTCAGCCCTCCGTATTCACAGTTTCTGTATCATGGACTCAACCAACCTCAAACGGAAGATACTTGGGAGAACAAAACATTTCAGAAGTTCCAAAAAACAAAACTTGAATTTGCCCTGTGGCAACTATTTACACAGCATTTACATTGTATTTACAACTCTTTATGTAGTATTTACATTGTATTAGGTATTATAAGTAATCTAGAGATGATTAAAAGTATCTGGGGGGATGTGCATCCATGGAGCTTCTGGAACAAATTCCCTACAGATACTGAGGGACGACAGTGTCTCTAAGCTTCTAAACTTTGTCAAGCACCTTGAATACTGTCTTTTTCTTGTCTATTTAAAGATAATAAAATATAGACTTAAAAGAGATATTGCAAATGACCTTGTCTACTTCTATTACTCAGAGATGAGAAAACGAAACTCAAAAACTAACTCAAATATAGACAACTTCAAGCACATAAACTAATGGCTGAAAATCACTTAATCATTCATATAAAAAAGTTAAAAAATGAACAGCACATTAAACCCAAAGAAAATAAAAGGGAGGGCATAATAAGGCTAAAATCAAAAATTACTGAAATCTAAAAGAAACATACAAAAGAGAGGTTCAACATTGCCAAAAGCTGGTTGCTTGAACAGACCAATTATGTCGCTAATTTCCTGGCAAAACTGATCATGAAAAAAAAAAAGAAGACAAATAACCAATACCAGAAATAAAAATGTCAATATCATTACTGGGCCTAAGGACATTAAAATATCATAAAATATTATAAACCACCTTATGCCAATAATTAGAAGACAAGGAATAATTCCAAGAAAAATAAGACTTATTAAAACTTCTTATAACTATTAAAGATAATGAATTACAAAAAAAAAAAAAAAAGGCCTGTTTGCTATGAGCGTGATGGTGACACAGACCCAGGAATAATGACTAAGTTCATGTTATATTCCTTTTCTTCCTTTTTTGCTGATTGTATTATGTAACCTTCATAATCTACAATCAGAATTAATTGAGGTAGTTCAGCTTCATATATTTTTCTTTAAAAATATTTTGATGTCCAATATACAGAAATGTAAAAACTGCCCCACCATACAAAGGGACTCTCACGTAAAGAGCAGGAGGAACAGAAATAAAACTGGTACATCAATACATGGGCCTTTAAGAAATTATTTTTAAATTGTATTGGAGCAAAGTCAATGGTTAAACCAGGTCGTAAGAGGTTGTGGGTTTTATCCCCTTACCTGTGCAGCTGGATATATTCTCGGGGTCTATTCAGCAGGTGAAGGAATCTATCAACAATCTTGTTTTTTCCTACACCCTGTAATTACAAAGAAAACATTAAATGAGAGAGAGAGAGACTTTAATCTGGAGGTAAAAGAAACCAGAAGAATCTCTTACCAAAATCTACTTACTGTTTTAGCTTATTGTTAATGAAAACCAAACTAGTAAATGTATACAGCACATCTTTTATTCATATCATATTATCACATAAAGGTTTTTTAAAAAATTTACTTCTAAATACATTAGCTCCAAGTTATATTCATTTAAAAGGAAATTCATAATTATTTTAGCCTTCTTCAACTTTTTTTTCTGTTCTATAAATTTTACACTGAACTGTACACATTAGAGCAGAGTATTATCTATTTCTGATTTGAAGAATGGCATCAAAGGTGAGCAAGTAAGTGTGAAAACAATGAGTTTTTCTAATCAGCTCTTCAGAAGTATGGTTCTCAGTTACATCAATACAATACTCTATTTTTCTGTTTTAATCAAACACTCATTTCTTTTCCTTTTACCCCACTTTCCAGTCCTTCAAAACCTTAGAAACCTAAAATTATAATCAGGGTTTACTAATAAGTATCAATTATCTCTGTTCTTCCTAGAAACACCCTCATTTCCTTACCACTTAATGATGCCAAGAGTTGCTGTCCTTTTGCAGACAACAGACTACTAAGAATGGAATCCACTCCCATGCTATTCCTCCGTTTTAAAGTTTTCATTTAGAGGTGGAATACTCTGCTAATGTGATTGTAAACCTTTTAACAAGTAGGTTGTGTAGGAAGAGCTGAAGTGGTTAAAAAAGGCTGAGTTTTCTAACATATGTTCTAGCAATAAGTAACACTTACTGATTTCTCGTACTGTGCCAGGCTCTATGCTAAGTACTTTTACATCATAGCAGTTTCATGAGGTAGGTATGATGATCATTCCAACCTTATAAATTGAATTAGACAACGCGGTCACATTACACAGCTAATCACAGTGGAGCCAGGATTCAAACCCAGGTCTGTCTGATTCTGATGCTTATGCTTTTAGTCCCTACATCACAGATTACATTTCTTTCAGTGGGAAATTGATTTTAGTAACCTGGGCCTTGAATTACCTCCTTCCTCACTGCTAAGAATCCGTCCTAAAAAAAAAATTATTAGGCAGGTAAGGGAAATGTATGGTACCTGGCAGCAAGAACAGAAGAAGCTCAGTCAAGGGAAGCAACCACTATTATTGTTATTTCTATTACATACCCAGATTTCTTGTCAGCAGGGGCATCTGCAAGCACCAAGGACAGAAATTCAAATGAACTAAATAGGTATTTATTGAGTATCATCTTTGTCTTAGCACTGTGACAGTCCCTCTAAGACAAATTCTCAAAGGGAATATGAGACTATAAATGTCACAGTTCTCAAAGGGAGGAAGACATATACACTTGGAGCACAGAAGACAAGCCACCAGTGTAGATAAACAACTGTTAACTGATACGATGTAGGTTCTTATAGTCTTAGAATCTCTTTCTTCTCTTTAGTCCATTAAATATGTCCCAGGATGAAAGAGGCAACAGAGATTAGCCCCAGGATAATATATGCAAGAGAGATGAAGGGGACTGGAATGATTCTCAACTACTTAATAAACAAGACAGAGGTATGAAGCATGCACAGACAGTAGCAGGCAATTACGACCCATTGTACATCCTTGAATCGGAAAGAAGCACAATAAGACGAATGTTTAAAGAAAGATAATATGGCAATAATATGCAAAATATACCGACAAGAGAAGAGACTGGTATCCAGAAGGTCGATTATTTATTCATTCAACATATAAACACGTATTTATTGAGGGCTGGTACATGTTAGAGAGAGAAGAATAAATAAGAAACATACGGTTTCTGGTCTTATGGGGCAGAAGTGTGAAGACTAATAGATAGGAAGGTCAAATAGAAAAGTAGGTAGAAAGGGAGCAAGATATAATTAGACAACCAAGTGAACAAATAAGAAACTTACCAAACAGTGATAAGTTCTCTATTGACATATAAGATAGGGTGAGGGGATTGATACTTGACTGAGTGGCGATTTAATGTGGATTTGGAAATGAAGACCTTTCCTTAGGTAACTTTTAAGCTAAGATCTAAACAACAAGGAGCCAGTATTATTACAATTACAAAAAGGGGGCATTCCAGGAGAAGAGGTGCTACAGCTGATGCCCTAAAATAGGAATCATTTAGGATATCTGAGGAACAGCCAACGTGTTCAAGTGCTGTGGGTGAAAAGAGAGTATACAAGATGAAGACATGTAAGCCAGCAGGGTGAGAGTTCTGCAAGCCAAGGTGAGGACGCAGAGTTTTCCTCTAAGAGTGATGGGGAGCCCTTAGAAGGTTTTCAGCAGAGAAGTGACATGAACTAATAAAGATGGTAAAAATACCACTTTGGTGGAGGTATGGAGAGTGAATTATAAGGGAAGGGGTCAAGAAGGAGACTGGGAAACCAGCTGGGATGCTACTGCCAGGGTCCAGGTGAGAGAATGGTGATGGCTGGGATTAGGGGGTTTGAATGGAGAAGGGTGGATTCAAGCTGTTTTCCAAATAAAGCTGAGAGAACTTGTGATGGACTGAATATGGGATGAGGGAAAAGAAGGATTAAAGATTACTTCTAGACAACTCCTTGAGCAAAAAGATAGGCCAGACTAAGGGGAAGATTTTTTTAAGGAGGAAAATCAAGAGCTAACTTTATCTTTGTCCAAAGCACTTATTACCATATCACATTCTATCGGTTTATCTATTTGTGTGTTGAACTTCTCCCCTCACTAGAAATGTAAGAGAGGTTGCTTTGTTCACTCTTGTATCCCCAGGACCTAGAACAGTGTTGGCACAAAGTGGGCACAGCTTTGTCACATGAATCAATCAGAAATTCTTTCTCACATGTCTTTCCCAAGCTCCAGCTGAGACCCCATCTTCCTAACTGTCAGCTGAACTTCTGCACCGGATATTCAGACTAAACTCATTATGATTTCACCCAGGCCTATTACTTCTTTTTAACCTCAATGTCATAGTGTTGCCATGTATCCAGCTGCTCAAGGAATGAATCTCAG